CCGCCGGGACAGGCCTCTGCCGCCGCCGCCCCACGTGAGTCCAGGGCTCCGGGAGGTAGGGGAGGGCCGGGGTCCCGGCGCGAGTGGGGGCTGCGCGGAGTTGGGAGGCGCGCCTTCACGCGCGTGGCGGAGGGGGAGTCCTGGGGCACGGGAGTGAGTTCCTGTCTCTGCCACCCCGGGAACGTGGTGCCTGGGAGTCCCTACGTCCTCGACTCCCGCACAGCCAAGGAATCGGGGCCCCTTGCTCCCCGCCACCCCTAAGTGCTCTCCGGAGCTGGGCACCCCCAGCCCGCATCGGAGCGAAGCCTCGCCAGCCAGGGATGTGCCAGAGTGCCGGCTTTCCAGTCACCTCTAAAAATATCTCTCCCTCCCTCCCCCTCCACCGGCAGCTGCCACCTTCTTGCCCCACAGTGAAGATCCCCTCCCGCTTGCCTGCCCTGGCAGCAGGGAAGCACCCAGAGGTGTCACCTAGTCCCAGATGCCTCCCTGGCACCAGGGCGGCAGGCCATCACCCCAGCTGGTCAGCACAGGAGCTTACAGCCTAAGATGTCCAGGGCAAATGAGGAGGCTCCAGCTGCAATTTTTCTGAGAGGCGCCAGAGACCTCTGAGTTCTAATTCTGATGCTGTGTGATCCCCAAGACGTTAGCTTGACCTCTCTGGGTCTGTGTTTTTCCTATTTGTAGCTTGGGTGCAGTGAGCAAGGAAGATGGTCGAGTTGGAAGAGGGTGATGGGGGGGATTCCAGCTCAGTTGTTGGATCTGATTTCTAGTGATTCGTTATGAGAAGACTTGTTCTTCCACAGAGGGCTTGCGACTGTGGTATTCCTGGGGTCCTTATCCTGCACATTTTCTGTGGAAAACTGTCCCAAAACTTTCCTGGGGGCTCCCTCCCCCCATCGAGTGGGGAATTTCAAATTTGAGGCTTTTGGCGGAGAGGGGCCTGCTTCCTTCCCACAACCCCCCTCTGCCCCTCCGGATTTAGTCTCATTTGTGTGAAGAGTGGGAGAAGCAGGCAGGAATCTGGGATCCAGTGTGGAGTCAGGGAGGCAGGCACTGCTTTCAGCTGGGACTAGGAGATGGACTCCTCGCCTCTCCCAGAAACTCTTCTCTCCTTGCTCCAGCCTGTGGGAGGGGCTGGGATCCTGCCCATTGTTTTGTGACCACAAAAGGATTTGATCACTCAGGACAAAGCTGTCAGAGGTGAGAGACCTGCTGGAACATCACAGGAGCTTAGATTCCAACTGGGAACAGGATCCCTCTGACTCCTGTGGGGTGGGGATGGGGTGTCACATCACAGCCTCCATTGGTGGGGGGGGGAGAAACCCAGGGTGCTTGACTCTCTGCTCTGGAGACTAAAAGAAACAAGAACAACTCAGGACAATAAGTGTAACTGATTTCCCCAAATACTATTATTAGATGAAAAAAATGTAGCTGTATCTTTTTTTTTTTTTTTTGAGTCAGAGTCTCACTTTGTCACCCAGGCTGGAGGGCAGTAGCACTCTCCTGGCCACCTCAGCTGCAACCTGCTGGGCTCAGGCAAACCTTCTGCCTCAGCCTTCCAAGTAGCTGAAACCACGGGCATGCACCACCACACCTGGCTAATTTTTTGATTTATTGTAGTGATGAGGTCTTGCCAAGTTGCCCAGGCTGGTCTTGAACCCGAAGGCTCAGACAGTCGTCTCACTTTGGACTTCCAAAGTGCTGGGATTATAGGCGTGAGCCACCGTGCCTGGCCTGCTATGTCTTGTACTATGAGAAATGAGAAATTTTGAACATAGTTAAAGTTTAACAGAATATTTTTTAAAAGGAAAGAAAAACAAAAAAGAGCAAAGTAATGAGATCCTTTTTTATGGAATGAAGTTGGTCTCCGGGTGGCTACTGGGGGGTCCCCCTTTGTATCTGCCCCTTGCTTCTTCCAGGGGGACATGGGTCATGATTGCTTTTTTTTTTTTTTTTTTGAGTTGGAATCTCATTCTGTCGCCCAGGCTGGAGTGCAGTGGCACACTCACAGCCACCTCAGCCTCGACCTGCTGAGCTCAGATGATCCTTCTGCCTGAGCCTTCCAAGTAGCTGGAGCCACAGGCATGCCCAGCTAATATTTTTTATTTTTGTTGTCAAGACAAGGTCTCGCCATGTTGCCCAGTCTGGATTCGAACCCAAGAACTCAGGCAATCCTCTCACCTCTGCCTCCCAAAGTGCTGGAATTACAGGCATGAGCCACTATGCTCAACTCATATTTGCTTTTACAACGAGAATGGCGTCCTCTGACTATTCTCTGATTCACCCACCTGAGGTTAGACACATGTCATCATCTAGGATTCTGGAAGGCTGGAATTCTCTCCAGATAGGGACTAGGGACAGTCCTCCCCTCCCCCCAATGCACCACTCCCTGTCCCCCATGCCTCCCTCCCCTTTTCTCCATGACCTGTCTCCCCCATTCCCTCCCCTCTCTGCCCACTGCTCCATTCAGCTTTGACCACCTCTCCCAGTTCCTAGATTAAAAGTTCTTAGGGAGAAACACAGACCCACATCCCATCCCTCCTGAGGGGTTTAATGCATGTGTGATGAGGGTGCTGAGAGGGAAGGGACGCCTCCAGATGGAGGGTGCTGGAGTCTGTGCCTTGGTCCTGGCATGTCGAGGGATGTGGGGGAGGCAGAGACTGCTTCTCCCTGCTGCCCTGGGATGGTTAGGGGAAAGTGTCACCTTGACAAAGTGAGGGGGTTTACAACATCACCCATTGTCACCACCAGAGGGCAGCAGCCAGCCAGACCTTTGCTTCTTGCTGGGTAAACTTCTGGCTCTCAATCTTTCTAATTCTGTCCCAGCTGCCTGTGGTCTCATTCAACTCCAGGCGGAAGGGAGTAGGGAGGCCCTGGAAACTGTAGGTGGTGTCCCTGTCTTGGTGAGGCCCTAAAAGGCCAAATCCAGTCCTCAAAACCCTACAGCAAAGTCCAGCAGAGATTGCAACCTGACTCTCCTGTCTTGACTGCTGGGTTTCTTCAAAGCAGCAGGGAAGCGGGTCCCAGCCCACCTGTAGGACCCAGGGGTTCCAGTCTCCAGCTGTGATACAGTAGCCCTGGTCACCTACCCCTTCCATTTTGAGGGCATATGGAGGCAAAACTGTGGCCAAGTTCACGAGACTGAGTAGTGAGAAAATATGAGCGAAGGGGATTTGTGAGCCACGATGTGCCATACACATGTGACACACAGTGATTGTACTAGAGAAAAAAGCTGGCCTCGGCCTCTGAGATCTGGTTTGACAGCCGTCTCTGCCGTTTGCAGTAGGTGGCTTTTGGGCAAATTGGTTAGCCTCTCTGTGTCTCTAATAATATCTGAAATCTCTCAGGGCCATAGGGGATTGGGAGGATGCGTAGCCAAGTGCTTAGTGGTCTGTAAGTACTGGGCCTCTTTTTTTTAAATTTTTTTTGAGTTGGAGTCTCACTCTGTCACCCAGGCTGGAGTGCAGTGGCACATTCACGGCCACTGCAGCCTCGACCTGCTGTGCTCCGGCGATCCTTCCCCCTCAGCCTTCCAAGTAGCTGAAACTACAGGCGCACACCACCATGCCCAGTGAATTTTTTGATTTATTGTAGAGATGAGGTCTCGCCAAGTTGCCCAGGCGGGTCTTGAACCCGCTGCCTCAGGCAATCCTCTCACCTCAGCCTCCCAAAGTTCTGGGATTGTAGGTGTGAGCCACCGCCTGAGGGGTGGTTTTTACTGAGATCCTGGGAGTGGCTCTTGGGGCGCAGCAGGAGGGCAGGGACAGCAGGGACAGGGAACATTAGTGATGGAAGCAAACTAGCTGCTCAGACGTGCTCAGATGAAGTTCTGTGCTTGTTAGGCACGCCCAAGAAGCCTGGAGGCCAGCAGAGTTCCGACAGCTGGTACCCAAGGTGATGCATTGACAATGAGCGGGTGTTTCCCAGTTTCTGGCCTCCGGTGCCTGTCCAGGGTAAGTGGGTCCCTCAGGGGGCCTCTCAGGAGGAGGCCTCAGCCCCTCTGCTTTCCATCACAGGGTGGGAGGGGCCCTATCCCTCCCCTTTTAGGTTTCCCCTCACCTTTACTGGCTCCGTTAATCCCTAGAAGTTTCCATCCCAGGTCTGGGGTCTCGATACTTCACATCCTCGACTCCAGGGATCCTGGGTCACTGAGCCCCAACCCCCCAGCTGGGTGTTGGTGAGACTCCAGGGATGAGGTTGAAAGGACAGTTCTGGTAGGGAGGCGGGTAGCCAGGCTCAAACCCCAGCTCTGCAGTGAGGAGGTGGGCCCGGCCATCAACATCACAGGGATATAAGAGGGGTAGGAAGAGGCCAGATAGAGTGGTCCCATCTTCCTTAGCTGGGGTGGGGGCTGGGAAGGAGAAAGGCAGCGTGGTGGGTCTCCTGAGAATGCACGTGATCTGCTTGCTCCACCTCACGCACTGGCAGGCAAAGGTGGCCGGAGGTGCTGCTGGGGTCCCTGCTGTCTCCACTCGCCTGCCTCTCTTTGTTCCCTGTGCCGTGCTGTCCCCCACTCTCCCTGCTCACCAGGGGCCTCGGTTCTGGCCCAAGGCCGCCTTCCTCGAGCTCCCCTCCAGCCTCCGCCTTCCTGTCCAGCAGTACGTCTCCAAGATCCCTAGGATGACTTCCTCCTGGTCCTCTCCCCCACCCATGTTCCCACTTCCTGCTCCCTCTTCCTCTGCCTTTTCAGCCACTGCTGCTCTCTCTCCCCTCCCTTACCTGTCTCCCAGGTGTGTCGTGGCTTGGTGCGGGAGGCTTCCACCTCCCCAAGCCCCACTGCTTCTGCTGCCCGCTTGCTTCGGACTCCGGCAGAAGCCCCACCCGCTGACACTGTCCTCCCGGGGAATTGGCAAGTGATTAGTGATGAGCTGTCAGCACAGGGCCCGAGAAATCCCTGGAGAAGCGATGCCCATCCCTGGCCCCCTGAAGTGCCTGGGTCTTGTGTGGTCAGTCCAACTGCCTGGTTATATTCCGAAGGCTGAAATCCAGTTATCTGGGGAGAGCAGAGGCTCAGGCACCTAGCTCTCCAGGCCTGGGGACCTGGCACTCTTTGTCACACGCTTTGAATGATGCCACAGTCCATCTTAGTAACGCCAGCCTCCTCACTGTCCACCACAGTCTTACAAGCCACAAGCCTCGGCTCCTGTGGCCCAGGAGGAGAATGAGGAAGCTGCCCCAGTCGGGAAACGTAAAATTTCCTTGAACTCTGTTAGGGGATGGGGGAGAGTTCCCACCCCCCTCTGTCCATATCCACCCCAGGGGCCATCTGAAGTCTCCCAGACAGTCTAGCCCAGAAGCCTCCCCAAAGCGGTGATCCTGGGAAGCGGCTCTCCCTGATTTTCAGCTGATCTTGTTAAGCCCTTGGGGCTTAACTGGGGTGGAAATAGCAGAAAAGGTGCCAGGGAAGCCCTCTGAGTTCGGGAGGTTGGTCCTCCGGGCATACACCCGCTCAGCTAACCCAGAGGTGCCTGGGGGTAGGCAGGGGAGGCCGGGATGGGTCGGGACAGCGAGGGCCGCCCCTCTCCGCTTAACCAGCCTCGGGTTCTCCTCAGGTCTTGGATGTGCCAACGCTCCCGGCCGTGGCCCGCTAACCAGCCTCTCCTGGGCCGGCTCCCGCCGCGCCCCCTCTCGCTTGCCCCCTCCTCCTCCTCCTGCTGCTCCCCTCCCCGCTCCCAGGACGGTGGGATGGCCGCGCCCGGCGCGCCACGCTTCCTCCTGACCTTCGACTTCGACGAGACCATCGTGGACGAGAACAGCGACGACTCGATCGTGCGCGCCGCGCCGGGCCAGCGGCTGCCCGAGAGCCTGCGCGCCACCTACCGCGAGGGCTTCTACAACGAGTACATGCAGCGCGTCTTCAAGTACCTGGGTGAGCAGGGCGTGCGGCCGCGGGACCTGCGCGCCGTCTACGAGGCCATCCCCCTGTCACCGGGCATGGGCGACCTGCTGCAGTTCGTGGCCAAGCAGGGCTCGTGCTTCGAGGTCATCCTCATCTCGGACGCCAACACCTTTGGCGTGGAGAGCGCGCTGCGCGCCGCGGGCCACCACGGCCTGTTCCGCCGCATCTTCAGCAACCCGTCGGGGCCCGACGCGCGGGGCCTGCTGGCGCTGCGGCCGTTCCACACGCACAGCTGCGCGCGCTGCCCGGCCAACATGTGCAAGCACAAGGTGCTCAGCGACTACCTGCGCGAGCGCGCGCACGACGGCGTGCACTTCGAGCGCCTCTTCTACGTGGGCGACGGCGCCAACGACTTCTGCCCCACGGGGCTGCTGGCGGGCGGCGACGTGGCCTTCCCGCGCCGCGGCTACCCCATGCACCGCCTCATCCAGGAGGCGCAGAAGGCCGAGCCCGGCTCGTTCCGCGCCGGCGTGGTGCCCTGGGACACGGCCACTGACGTGCGCGTCCACCTGCAGCAGGTGCTGAAGACGTGTTGAGGCGCC